AATAAGAGCAAAATTTTGTCAAAGATTCAGAGATTGGTATACTCGTCTCTTGCATTTCTCGATACATTTTGATCGTAGTAATTCATTTATTTGGAAATTACTAAGTTTCAATGCGGAAAAATGTGCCGTCCCACGCGCAAGTCATGGGAAAAAAAATGGCCTCGTCCGTCAGCGTCTTTAATTGCGCTCTCAATACAAGGAAAACGCAATTTCCTGATGCGGATAACATTGGAGGTGCTACAAAATAAGAGCAGAAGATGATGACAAGGGGCAGAACTCAAGAGCAACTCGGCTGCATCTGCAGTATCCATCAAGGGCCGCGCATTCCCACAAAACATGAAAATAAAAACAGCCCAAGCGTCCCACTCGTTTGTTCTAAGTATTTCTATGGCTTTGGCGCCGGATCGTAGAAATTTACAGGCCAGTTTATCTAATTTGCCTTTCCTTGATTTTTTCATTTTTGTTTTGTTTACATTTACATCGTTGTGCTTCATTTCTAGCCTGTGTCATCTTCAATCTCCTTGATAGCATGATTGGTTGAAGGCATGAAAACCTAAAATTTCATTCGCATCAGGAATTTGCGTCTTGCTTGTATTAAACTGGAGTATGCCGTTTTATTCTCATGTTTCGTGGAAATACGTGGGCCGTCGCCTCGAGGATGCTGTGCAGAGTTGGCAGCATGTTTCTTTGTAAGTTTCTGACCTCGTCATCATCTTCTGTTCTTTACTTTGCGAGGCAGGCTTCCACTGTTATCCGCATCAGGAAATTGCGTTTTTCTTGTATTTGAAGCGGCAATTAAGGACTTGGCAAAGTGCCAAGGAGCCGCACGCGACAGGCGCGCTTACGACGGATGTTATGAACGGCGGGAATCTGCGCCGTAAAAAGGCAGTGGGCGGAGCATGGAGGAATTAGCGTGTTTCACGGCCCTGTATCTCCATTCCTGGGCGTGTTTGGGCGGGGGGGGACCAAGACACATCGACATCTATGGATAGTTCCTCTATACACGCTCTTCAATGTGTATGAGCGTACTATGTGCCTCTTAAAATAGCCCAGACAAATCCTCTTAAAATAGCCCAGAAATTATAGAAAAGCGTTACCTTCTTGTCGAGAGTGTTTCGGAACGAGTAGCTCGCATCAGAACCGCATCCCATACATACTGCAACGACTTGCTTGATCTCGTCAGCATACGGCAGGAGTAACGACACTTGTGGGAACGGCTGAAATAAAACATTGAAATCAAACCGACTCGGTTGAGCGGAATGAATACTCCATTGTTAATTGGACTGATTCAGAAATTTATTCATATAGCGTATTCAGGAGTAGAAATGGTGCAGTATAACATATTCCCACCGCGCAAGTGCTGTGCCAGTCCTAAAATCCTGGATTGGACCCCGAGACCAATCAAGTCTTCCACGAATCTGTAGTCATTTCTTCGCAACAGACTCGTAAAGGAAATGATGTCTTCGCGAAAAACCCTTGGATGCGGCTCGCATTCTACTTCCATTCATAATATCAGTGGCTTAGTGAGAGCGATGTGGCCTATACGAAAAATCGTGAGGAGCAGCTGATATACCGGCTTGTGCTTATATGCTCCCAGACGGTTTTGATACCAATTTGCCCGAAAAAGAAGGCTAGGTTGGCCTGGACGGGAGCCGACCTGGGATTTAACCCACGGATCGTGCGCGTGGAAAGTGGGCCAACTAGCACCACATCAAATCCGCAACACTAGACTCACATACTGTGAAGGATCCCTCTCGAGCTGTCGCTAACTGACTACGACACAAAAGCAGATACCTTTCGTTCAAAGGTGCCGCTCAAGGCTGCTACGTACACCACTTTGCCCACACTTGCCAGCCTGTCACATGTTTCGGCACAATCAGTGAACTGAAAACGACAAGAAATCACACATACAAGGCTGCTATTGGAATTGGAAAAAAGTAATAAAACAATATTTAGAAAGATACGAAGAGGGAGAGTTTTGTTTCTAATACATAGCCGACGTCAACTGTTATACTCAACCATACTAAACAACATGTAAAATTATCCTGAGAAGATGTGAAGCAGTCTTCCGAGGTCAGTTCCCTAGTCTCCCACCTCACAACTTGTACAGCCCCCATACACACAAAATGCCCGCATCTTCATTTACGACCGGAACTCGGGTACACGGCGCATAGCATAAATGGGCCGATTGACGAGTTACCATCCTTTTCTGAACAGTAACCCGAAATTATTGACTTCGCTTGTTAGGTTCCATCAAATGGTAAGAGATATCAGCATCCGCATGGACTTAAAATTATAACCACGTTTTCTTAAATGTTCCAGTAATACCCCTACATAGAATTAGTAAGCAGTTATCCCCTCACCCTTAAAGGCATATCCTGCGATGTTCGTGTGGGTGGAGACAGTTAGCTAACGCACCTTCCGGCGTGGACATGCCGTATACAACTGGCCATGTGCAACTTTCAAAACTGGTTCAACAAGTAGGGACAACTAGAGCTATTTCCACATCTTCTGAAAAGCTATTTGGACGCAGTTTGGCTTGGTGGGGACATACAAATGGTTCCCATCTATCACTGCTGGTGCCTTATATGTAGACCTGCGAATTTCTGCATGACTGTGCAGTGGCATGAACTTCGCTTACAACTGACAATAGTCTCGGTAAAATGACAGGACAAAGCGAAAGTGGGCGAACCTACCCCCGCTCACCCCCAGCCCGTACAGTGCCGATATTTTTTAAGGCAATTTTAATACAAAAAAGAAACCAGAAAATAACCTACGAATTGTCCTTCGTCGATAGACACAACTTGGACGCTGGGATCGAAAATATGTTCCTCTACTTCGGACAGCTTGTGAGCTTTTACCGTGAGGCCCTGACCTATCAACCTTAAGAATTTGGTTTAGGTCAATATTATAAAATGATGGCTGAGACTACGCATTTTTAACTTAGAAAGAGTAGTTTATAATGGTGTTCAAATGGTGATAAGGACGAAAACTCACTTTGTGTGCGTTGCAACCAGCTCTGGATCATATCTCGTATCCCCAGCATATTTCACCAAGACACATTTCCGCTTCGCAATTATTTGACGATCATGCATTCGCAGCAATTCCGTTCTGAACTTGAATCAATCTCAATCGATAATCATGGATTTTTTTGCCCGAAGAACGAAAAGGAATCATTACAGATGGTTGGAAGATTGACTAAAAAAGTATTCCACATTCTACTAAACTATTCCTAAGGCACTTCATGTTGCTTTACCATTATTCACATGGGGAGATCGCGCTAGGTCGAAGCGGGTGTAC